AAAATATGCCTCGTACCTTAGAACCCTTGTCATACTGCTAATATTTAAAATTATAAGCATTGTATCAATCATACCAATCTCCCCTAATCTGTAAATCATTACAATCATAACGGTAATTGAATTAACAGTTAGATATCGATATATGAGAGGTTTTTTTTTTCAGAATAATACGTTCCTTTTATCGCATATACAAAAACATTTCATTTTAGATTCCTAAACTCTTTATTGCACACATAAAATTGACTTACCTTATTTTTATTATTATTAAAGCTCAGAAGATGGTGACCAACAACGAATTGAAATAATTAAAAGCCAATTTTAGAACGAATAAATGCCTATCAGTATTTTTTTGCAATTTGCAAGTTATTAATGCAAATCTAGTTACAACGGATATATTAGATTACAAAGAAAATATTAAAATAATTATCAATAAATGAACACTAACTCTGATTATACGTGGATTAATTACGGAAATGTGCCTTAAATTATAAAAGGTTAAAGTATACCTAGTTACTAAAGTCGGACAGCTCGTATATTCCTGTTTGGCTTAACATCCTACATTTATCTGAGATCGTAAAACTCTTTATTACCTATTCGCATTTACATCAGCTACATAGCCGATAATAATATTATTATATTATTCTAACTATTAACAGTTCTTACTTCATTTAAATTATTAATAAAAACATAAAAAGTAATAATAACATAATGAATATGGCACATTCTTAAGTTATTACTTCTCTCGACTAATAGATACGAGTGTAAAAATCTGTGTTTTTTCGCAGGACGTTTAGGGATTTAATTGTAATGATATTCCCGAAATAAATCTATATTTCTTGGAATTATATAGGTATGATATAATAGAACCATTTCTTTAAAAGAAAACATGAAATAAGGTTTATTGAACAAATTTTTATTGACAAGTCGAAAGGCTTTAAGTATTTCGACCTAAGCAATAAAATATAATGTTGTGCAATAATACAGTTATTTAAATAATTTACTCATTAAAATTTCTTAAATTATTATTCGCACAATTATGAACATCCTTTCAAGTATACGCAACAATATATTTTCTATATCTGTTGCTTGATCGGATCTAGTTTTGAGATCGAGAACCGAAGGATCTAGTCTCCGATAAATGAATATATTAACCTTTACACTAAAAAGTGTATCAGTATTTCAAACAATTTTATCACTAATTCGACTAGAGGATAATGATTGCGTCCCATCGCAAGGTTCTTGGTAATATGAGACGCACAATAATACTCGAGCGTTACGATGCCAGCACCAAAAACCGCTTCAACATAAGGATCAATTTATAACGCGATATGATCGCACCAATCCAATCGGTAATGAGAAACCTCCAAAAGCAATCGAGTTAAAGTCAAATTTCAAAATAAAATCGGACTAAAGTAAAGGCAAGAAGGGTCGTTTTTCTTAATTTATGTAGTCGAAGAGATTGTGCCGACTGTACTTTCCGCGTCATATGAGGCGTAGCTTTTATACACCTAATAAGCTCCTAAGTAGCTCTCGGCCGTTACTTCTCCCAAAAGCTACGATTTAGCTTTTAAAAATATTTTAGTTGAGTAATAATTTATCTTCCTTTGCTTGTTAGGGTTTTATAACTTTATATATTTTTATATAGGTATCGTATGTCATTGATATAAGCAAAATGGAAAACTAATGATTTTCATTTTGCCAATTTGAAATGTCATCTTCATGATTTTTTCTATTTAAATGGGCTCGTACCAAGAAGGTTAGGGAGGTTTTTATCTCTAATTGGTTTCTCTTATTCGACTTTCTTACTCATGATTTTCTATAGATATGTCATACGCACACTTGCCCCGGATTCTTAATATAGGGAATATAATAAATTTATATAATTTATTACTTACTTAAATCTTGTTTACTTATTTTTTTTAGTGTTCAGCGTCATGCCTCGAAATTAAATTAGAAAAAACCTGAACTTGCGCCTGTCACGGATCAATAAATCGCTAAAGCAAAACCCCTTATTGAACATGGTAAAAGTAAACGTACTGCTGCAGGAGCCATTGGTATAAGCGAGTCATGTCTTCGCAAAAGACTTAAATTAAACGTAGCTGCATCTTCAATGGGTCGGTTTAAGCCAACTTTTAATGAAAGTCAAGAGGCTGAGTTTGCGATTCACTGTAAGCAAATGAATTGAGAATCGCTTTGACAAGTCATCAAAAATGTTTGGAAGCTGTGAAGGTGAAATGTTTGACTCTGGTTAGTTTTCATTGAATTTACTAAATAAGATAGATAATTTTGGTGAAATAAGTTTATTTTCGGATAAATTAACCAATGCGTTCACTTACCCCAAGTGCGTCTATTTACCCCATAGCTATGCGCACACTTACAATTCGGGTCAAGTGTTCGCATTGTGACTTTCAGTTGTTTTTACCTGTTTGAATGAAAACTAAGATACTTGCAGATTTTGTTTGTTTTTCAAATTAAAGTCTAATAAATGTTTATTTCAATATGCTACTTTTATTTTTCTAATTACACTGTTCTAATTTACAATGAGGTCCCAAAGGTAAAAGTGCGCACACTTGACCCGAACGACTCTATGTCATGAACGACTCTCTATCAACTTTAACATATTTTAATAAGTTATTAGCTTTCCGTCAGCGACTTCGCCTACTTAGCGTACTGTTTATGGAACGGTATTTGGATGTCGATTCATATTATGGGACATATATAATTACAATGACAAATTGAATATTAAACAATTGTTACTATGGTAACGTTTTAATTCCCTTTACAAATTTCCATTCCCATTTTTATCCTTTTATTTGTTGTTTTCCGTGTTAAAATACATTACATATTATATTATATATAGCCTATTTTCACCGCATATGATGTAGCTTCCCGTAGGTGAAATAATGTACGTCCTGTCCATTTGTCTGTCTTTCCAGTAGTTTCGGAGCCTATTTATTGTAAACAAACAATCAATAAATTTTTTCGTCTTCAAATATTATTACAGACATCCAGTAAAAGACTATGGCAGCTGAGGCTTAATAAAGTTAATTCAAGATTTTTTTTGTAATTAGCTCGTAGTACTCGTTTTCGTCATGTTTTAAAGAATAATTTTCATACTAATATTATGAATAGAAAATATTTGATTATTTGTTCGAATTGAATAGGCTTCGAAAGTCCTGGAATATTAAAAATTATTTCACCAATTAGTATCCTGTTTTATTACCTATAATATAGGTACCAACTAAAAGCTTTTGCGATTGGAATTAAGATATATAATTTTAAAATGAAACTACTTTTAAAAAGTTTTATCGCATATATTTTTGAAAAACTATTATTAAATTTATCAGCAATTTCGAATCAGGAAGAAGAGAGCATCCTGAAAGAAAATTTATTCCGCACAAGCAATTTTCATTATATTTTGAAAATAATACTTTATAATGTACGGGCGTTATTTTAATTTTTATTTATAATATTTAGGTATTCGATATAAGCATTCGGTTTATATTCAATTTCTGAATTTAAGCCCATTGATTCCTTGTGTATAAACTGGATTAGAACAGAATACTACATCTTTGTTTTTTGTAATTAACTGAGATTTAAGCCAGATTACGGGCTTAAACTAGGTCAAATACCCATCTCTTATTTAATCTAAACAAAACTGAAATTCACAATTTATGGAATAATCATATTCATAATAAATATAAGACATCAATTACATTGTTCAGATCCTTAAATAAATAGATGAAGAACGCATCTACCATAATACCCAGACACAAAATAATACAAAAAAGTCCATTTTCTAAATTGATCCAACCGGAAATCGAACCCAAGACCTCAGAGCTGGCGACACCTTCAACCGGAGTACGGAGTACTCAGCGACGAATGTCATAATTACGGACGGACCCGCTAATTTTGAAAAAATTGAAAGTGGAGGACACAATTGTCTTAAAATTATCTAAAAATTTTTTTAGATAATTTTTTTTTTTTAAATTAAATTTTGATAGAAAAAAAGATTCATCACAGTTTATCAGCCCTTCCCAAAGTGGGCAATAACGCCCCCTTGTGGGCGTTGCAAGCCTATATGGGGGCAGCAATACCCAGAATAAAAATGGGGGTGTTGTGTAGAGGCTTGGGGGCCGATTTGTAATTTTATTTACGAGGACTGTTCGCCACTAACTGAGTTCTGTTCTATCGATAAGCTGTGAACATCAACTAATAATGTTAATTAAGAGATTTGCTCACTCTGTTCTATATTTCTCTCCGTGTAATTTATATATGCATATCTGTCCTGTTATACTGAATAAATAAAATATAGTTCCTGTGAAACGGTCGATCCGTTTTAAAGTCTTGTTTAGAATAAATTTTTAATTTCCACTAATATAGCTCTCAATAATTAATTAAATTTTATAGTGGTTTTTAAGTAGGTAAAGAGATGAGAGCGCTTTATTTTTTTTTATTCTCAAAGTGGGCAGTAAACGACATAAGTTTGGGAACCCTTGATCTATATTAACCACACAAAGTATCTGAATAGCTTTCAAATACTTTTATGGTCAACAGACCATGGTAAGTAAAATCTATAATACCTACGCGCTTAACCCATTCAAAAGTTGTGTGTTTGAAAAAATATAGTTTTACTTCCTCCTTGTAAAGATAATCGTTTTATTATAACAGATTTAATATGGTACAAATTTACCAGTGACATTTTTTTTTATTTCAAGAAATATTTTAAGTTAATAAGTTATGTTGTAGACGTGAACTTCTCATCTTATCATCTCCCAATCTCGTTCTCATTTTGACAATAAAAGAATTAAAAGGCCAAGCTATGAAAACTTCATCATCTGCGGTGGTACTCATTATAATCGTGTCCGGAGTCTGCCAAACGAAACTTTTTAATTTCCCAAAGAAATCGGAAAGTTCAAATTGTTTTCCTCGATCAAAGTGTTTCGGTGAATCTCTAGGTGGTGAGGGGAAGGGGTGTGGGCGGGGCCAGTCGAGATCGCAACAGGTCGCTATCCTACGCGATCGATAACTTGGATGCTGGAGCATGCGCCATTTCTCTCTCAAAGAGCAAACAAAATGTGCTACCTTGTGTTGTTCGCAATATCACTGCTCACCTCAGGTATGTAAAATAAGATATTTACCTTGACAAACTTAGGATATGTTAGAGAAACTCATTTCCTGCGGGTCTATAGTCAATTCATTTCATAGATCCATAATATCTTAAGAAACGTCAAAAGATTTGTTGTCTATGGTTTAGAATGCATGCTTTTATATTATGATATTTCAATTATTTCCAGTCTTACTATTATAGGAATTTCAAATCTAAGTAATATCATATAAATTACAGCCAGCTAAAATAAACTGCGGTAATATTTCCCACTAAGTATTTAAACAACATCAACTGCATCATTATGAGTAATTCAATTATCAGTAATTATTTATTAATAGAACTCTAACCGCGATTAGTATTAATTCAAAAGTTGCTAAACAACACTCTTTGTAAAGTTGCAACTACCAAATCATATTTTCAGAAGCCGCTAGTGACCTACTAAGGGATAGTGTCCATGTGACATCCGCTGCAGCTCGGCCAAACAATGAGTTGTGGTGCTACCGGTGCCTGGCGGAGGTGCCAGAGGACAAATGCGCGGACCTGCGCCCGAATAACTCTGCACTCGTACACAAATGCCATAACGACCGGAGAGTATGCATGGTCAGTAAAATACCGCACTGAATCAATAAGTGTAGCAAAATAGATTACCTACACATAGGCAACTGCAGGGTTAAGTATCGGGGTCTGAATATAAGGTTTATAAGAAAAAATAAAAAAATAATGAAAGCCTTTGTTTTAGGCTCGAATTACCTATTCGTAAATAATCACATTTTTACATTATGCTAAAATAAAACTAGTACAAAACATGAGAATAATAACAAAATATAACAAAGGCATAAAATTATAAATATATTTAGAGGAGAAAATAAGAAAATTCTATAAAATCTAGAAAATTTATTTGTTCATACTTTATATCCCGATCTGGCAATTGCTAACAACTGAATTGTTTTTTTAGATTTCTTTCTAGTATTCTGAAACCTTATGCACATCTACAAATGTTTCAGTGGAATTAATTAAACTCTTAGTAATTTTAATGAAACTTCTCGCATGTGTATGTGAGCCTTTGTGTAATGGCCCCATTGTGACATTATTGTAAACAATAGTCTACCGTTAAACTAGAAATCCTTTGTCTTCGTCGCGCATCTTGCTCTAAAATAGTACTCGGTATACGGTGCAAAGTTTCAAAACTGTTTCCTGCATACGACAAACTTATAAGTACTACAGCCATAAACTTCCAAGCAGTACTTACTTAGGTCTATAGTTGTTAGCATTTCGAATTACCTACGATCCAACTTATACATATTAATAACATATCTAGCTACCAATTTATGTCACGAAAGCAAATTAGTAATAAATATTTCAATGAATAGGATGAAGTATGTATTGTCTGATAAAACATTAATATGGTTTCTGCGTTAAGAAAATGGTTTTATATACTGCGATATGAAGCTAGCTGTTCTACAGGTTGATTATTTTTCTGAATACTTGCAGCCACCCAACAAACCTATTTTAAATATAAAAATATAATATTTATTAACAGGGACTAATTTAAAGGGGCACGAATCTAAAACATAATTAGGAACGCTACTCCGACATCACCTTTACAGTAAATACATAACAATTTGCGTCCCCAAGCAACTTTGATGACTTATATCGGTACATGACTTTCTAGAATTGTTTTCTTATAATAGAGTTTTTAATTTTTAAATGTTACATAGATAAATAACAACGACTCATCTAAAAATGAAGAGTGGAGTTGGCGTACCCGTGTTTTATAAAAATTAAGTAGTTATACCTACTCTACACGTAATTCCTATTTTTTATTACAAAACACCACATACACTAAAATTATAAATATTTCATTATTTATACTTTTATTTTACTTATCATCACAATTTACAAATGTATCTTACGAAATTGCAATAAAACCTCATTTCCATTAACGCAGATAATATAATCCAATCTTATTCGTCCATGCCTTTAGTGAGTAAACAAGTGTGCAAAAATTTACAATTGACTTAATCTCACATACAGGTAAAACGCTTCTCGTATACGACCTCTAACGAGAATTCGACCACGGCTCTGAAGATGTGGGCCCTAGAAAGGAATTGCACGAAACACTGCGAGCCAGGCTGCATCATCATCGGCGAGAGGACGAAGCTCCACGCTTGCACTTCTTGTTGCACCACTTCTCTTTGCAATTACGACTCCAGCGCCATAAAGGAGACATTACATATTATCATATATGTTGTATCCATAGCACTAGCATTAATATTATGATCGCCTTAGACGGTAAACTAGTAACTAATTAGTATTTGTGATATAGGGACCATCTAATGTCGTCACATCTTATATCATATATAAGTTATGAAAACGTTCAGACAACGTTATCGATCGATGATCCCAAAGATAACCATAGCGCTTGATTAATTGCAAAAACATCTAATTTACTTATCATTTGTTTTTCAATAGAAGTAATAGGTATTATGATGGGGCCTAAGTCGTATAATGAATCCTACAAAATCCATCAAAAGGTCTACCCTAAATATTAAAACACAATAGAGGGATTTTTGCTGTAATACACTCAGTGTGTATTTTACTTAAAACAAGCGTCAACCAAAATCCATAGTCCACTGCCGCAACTAAATCAGTAGGTATACAAGTTTCGCCTAGCATCTGCATGGTGAAAACACTGCATAGCAATACAACATGGATGCCCATTTCTTATTCCTCCAAACGAGCTCTAGATTTATATCGGTTATTAAGCTTTATTAAGAATAATAAGCTGTATAAAGTTTATTATAATTTGTTTTTCTTGATTAGAGTCGAAATCCATATCCTGAAAAATTGACAATGATGAGCGTAATTTCTCGCATTTCATAGCTAGTACTACCTATAATATATAAAATTACTCGTAATATAAGTAGGTAGGTAAGTACCCATTGAACGTGGTATCGAAACGGTTAGATAGTATAAATAAATACAGGAAATTGCGGGTTATATTGTGGCATGTTTATCAGTATCCATTATTGGTCATTATATACACGTCAAAGTTAACGGTCGAAGAAAAAATCAACCTTCAGTGGTAACGATACATAGAAACAACAGTTTTTTTATTGGAAAACGGACAACCGTGATTCAATATATCTACGACAAGTATAAAAGATACTTCCCTTTGCTGTTTTAGGACAATCATACTTAGTATGTATGTATACCTATTATAATTATTATCTGTGATGTAAAGAAAGTATTATTGTATGCTCAGAGTATGTTGGTTTTAAATAATTTAATTACTAATATGTTCTTCGAGATGGTAATGATTTAATAAATAAAATCAAAAGTCAGTTCTTGTGTCTATTAAAGCGACGCTAATTTACACTGAATTATAAACTAACTACTTATTTTCATGTTTTCCTGTTTATTTATAAATATTAATACTTTAAATGTTCTATTCATTTTTCATTACATAGGTTTATCATTTCAGCATTTTTCGTTGTTTTCATATTAGATAATAAGATATTATTAAAACCATCAAAACAAAATAAGAATCAATTAAACCGAATAAAAAAAAATGCAATAAAGAGAAACGACTGAAAAGAGAGAATTACTAAATATCATAATAAAAGAACTGTTACCAGAATAGTGGGTTAGGTTAGGTTAGAACTGCGACCCCAATAAAATCTAATTGCTTCAAAAATACTGTGTTAAGGTTAGGTTAAAACTGCTACCATCACAGAAAAGATTTATCCGGTAAATATAAATATATCTAATTACAGAAGATTATATCCATCTATTGTAAGTTAGAAGTAAACAATATAGATTAGTGATCATCTATTAAAAAAAAAAAACCACTACAAAAACATCGTAATGAATAGAAATGAATGAAAAGAGGGAATTAATACCATATTTGTTTCTAAAGATAAACAGACAACAATTTTTTTGAGGTCGGTACCAACCGTACCAATGAATAAGAAAGAAGTAAGCTATTCTACCTAATCTACTATTCTGGTACAGTTCGTTTCTTAAATTAAGTAAGTTTTTTCTTATATTGTTCCCTCAGTTGAAAAATAGTTAATCAAACAAAAAAGTTTCATTTCAACCCAATTTCTAATTTACGAGAAATATGTTTTATAAATTTGAAACCGTGACGTGATGACGACATAGCTCAGTAGATATTACTACATTTAAGCCTTATGGCAAATTTCCTAAAGATTTTATTGGTATTCACTGACTATGGAGCCCGCGGCATTTTGCCGGCCCTTTCACTGCCACCCTGTAGCAGTTGTTCAATCTACCTAAATTCAATGAAATTGTTCAGAATTCAATATTTTGTGAATATTAAGAAAAACTGATGTCCTAATGAGTTTTAAATGGTATACAACTATGATAGGGTATATACGCTTGTTTGCGATTCGTAAACTAACCTGCTAAGAAACTAATTTATCATCAAATAATATATCATCTACGCCCTCATCTAAAGTGTCTGTTGTATAGCGATTAGATAAGCGACTTTATCATTTATCAGAAAGTATCTAGTCAGTGGCGTCATTAAACATTGCGGTCTTCAAAGCAACGCAATAGTCTACACTCAAATATCACTTTTCTCGAGTGTGCCCATACGTTATTTCACTCTCGACCCGAGAAAAATGAGATTTGGTGTAGACAAAGCGTTTCTCGGGTTTGTCAAACTACGCATGCAGGATGTACTCGGTCTCGTATAGTAAAAACCTAGCTTTAGTTCAAATTGCAAAAGTTAATTTTGTCTGTAACCTCAAATGATGGAGCACATAAGTAGTGTTCTATACATAAACCGACTGGAAACGCGAGCCGCGATGTATGTTGTTTTGCGTTTTGGGTTACGGGTACCGAACTATCCAGTTGTATTTATTTAAAGTGCATCTCACTCTTTATACAGTTTTAAGATTGCCACTATAAATAATAATAATAATAACTAGTAGACTATATTTAACGAGTTCGGCTAAGCGAAAGGGAATGTTATGATTTTGGCCAGTATGTATGTATGTAAGAATGCTCATCTGTTCCCTTATAACTTCGAAGCTTCTCATCGCAATTGTATAAATAAGGTATCATAAGAAGCGTCTTAGTTGTCCACGTGCCTATAGGGTGCACGTGCCACGTGCATATAGTATGTGAAATTACATTAAATTGGCAAACGCCCTCTAGAGAGCATAAAGTAAGAAACTAAAAAAATATATTATTCAATCATTTCGTGTAGCATTGCAAACATATATGTATTGATAGCTTTTGCTTATGATTTTGCTTAAAAACACCAGAATATTAATTAAATAAAAAATAAGTTCAAAAACTAAAACCCAACCACAGCTAAAACACGCTCTTAAAAAAATTAAAACAATAAAATTTATGTTATTGCGATACCTATATTTAAAATAGCGATGACCAAAGAATAACGTAGTATACTAATTCATCATAACAAAACAAACTGTTGCATACGACTACGCTGTCCTCGAGAACTCGTAGCTCGAGTTAATAATTTTTTGTCACCCATCACGTGACCGACCCCTGCGAAAGTTACTCAACAACAGCGATCGCAGATCGCGGCGCTTATCCACTACGCCCATCGAGCTACTCAGTCAACGTCTACTACTGCTACTACGTCAGTAGGTATGTTGAAGTATTAAACGTCTACACCACTCAGTACCTACCCAGTTCGGAGGTCAGGTAAACCTGGTAGCGGCACGCGATGAAGTAAGTATGTAGAATATGACCATTACATTAGAAGAGATTCAGAATAGTTGAAAATATTAGAGTTGAAATTAACATTCAGCTCAACCCCCAAATTGTAGACCGCCGTGTTCCTTAGCACGTCTCAGAAGTTGTTATGAAACTCAACTCTAAAAAAGGGTTTTAATATGGCTGATATTTAATAAAGAGCACACAGTTCTGCAGAGCGGTCTCTCTCCCTAGTAGCATTTTTGGTACGGCAATTCGTTGGGCCTTTGTTTGCTGTTCGGTTGGTCAACTGTGGGTAATGGCACCCCTGATTGCACTGCTGCCCACAAAGCTAAAGTACCGTGGCCCACCGTTACAATTGGAGAAAGGGCCAACTGAAGCTTTTCCTTCGTTGGTCCTAGTCACCTTTTACAACGTAAAGCCAACTGCGAATTTTCCCACAATTTTCTCACATAGGGCCAACAAACATTCTATAACGTTGGGCTGACCGTTCATGGTAGGGCAACTGTGGTATGTAATTGTAGGCCTAACTTAACTTTTACTATATAAGGCCAACTGCAGTGCTCCTCATAAAGGGCCAAGGACACAGGGCCAACTAAGATTTACTCATAATAGGGCCAACATATTTTGCAAAGTAAGGCCTACATACACCATCTTTGTAGGGCTTACAAACTGACTGCACAGTATATCATCGAATTCATGAAAACATATGAATATCAGCACTATTAAAAAGTATCAAATGGCCAACCAAAATAACGTAATAAAACATTTAATTAAAAAATGTATTTATCAAATGTTTTTACCAATGTTGATAAATACTCATGAACCCGATGACATGCCTACTATTCAGTCAGTTTGTAAATCCCACAATAATGTGTCTGAAGGTCTTACTTTGTAAAACAATGTTGGCGCTATAACGAGTAAATCCTCAGTTTGGCCCAGGGTCCTTGCCTTTTATGAGGAACACTGCAGTACGTCTCGTAGTCTTGGTGGGCATCCTGGTGAGGCTCTAAAAATAAAATACAATTGTTAATTTAACCATATTTTATTTGGCTGAAAAACCATGAATTGGCATGAAACAAAAAAAAACAAAACTTGAAAAAATTACAATCAGTAGGTTTTTAAAACATATTATAGCTGTGTAAGAGCACCACAAATTGTATGGAATTGACTCACTCCCACACTCTTAAAATTGAAACTAGCATTTTTCATTGAGTAAATCAAGCTTAATAGTGCAAATTCATACTCACATAAGGTACACAGATAAATGAATGGTCATTACTATCAAAATTAGGCAACAATAAACATTTCTTGCTTAAATCGTTTGAATTGACAATAACATTTTTTTCACCACTGACCATGTATATTCTCAATTTGCTACTTTCAATGGATTTTTTGTAAAAATCTTTTTGTTTAAAAAACTATTATAGTGTAAAGTATAAGCATCAGATTTTTCTTCTACTTCAATAGATTTAACCACAATAATATCTCCATTGAAAGTAACAAAACAAGAATCTCTTAAACAAGTACTTACAGCACAGTTAAATACAAAAAAATCTTTTTATCCGTCCATCACAAATTATAGCCTTATTATTTTTCTTACTAATATTCACATTATTATCAAATTTCTTGTCAGCTGCTTTTTCACCCAGCCATTTAGCAATTTTCTCTAATGGCATATTATGCGAATGAAGTAACCTCTTTATTTTACACATGAAGTTTTCAAAAGGAAATGTTGAAAAGGAATCTAGTTCTCCAAAGTTATATACATCATACATTATTTTGATCAATATTATTACAACACAATCTGTATATTGCACAATGAAACATCAAAAAATGTTTATACAAACTACTCGATAATATATTTT